AGACGGAAGGAAGAGAAGGCATTCTAAGGGGGTGCTGCAAAGGGCTGAAGGCAGAAGAGGTACCTTGTGTTAGGGACTCAGGTGGGTTAGTGGGTCTGGACCATAAGAATTCATCCTGGTGAGGTCATGCTGTGTCTTGATTCGAAGAAGTCAAAAATGCTAGTCTAGTTGAGTCGTGTGTAGACAGGGGTTCTCCGCCCAATGACACTACCCCTATTACAGTGGATCACCTAACGGGAAAATAACTGCCATCAGGTAGGATCCTTGATGTTGCAAAGAAAATCTTTTAGGTCATGTAATGAGACAGTCCTGGTAGACTGGTCGGTGAGCAGCAAGGACAAGAGAGCACAGCTTTCCCCTCTCCAGTCCTAGGCTACAGCAGCTATAGACCCTGTGTCCTTTCATTCTCATATCCAGCTTCCTTGAAAGATGAAACCAAAGCTTCATGACCAGGTTTCATTAGCTTTCATGGGTCTTAGATTTTGGGCAGATCCTAAAGCCGTCGGTGCCACAGGGATAGTATACAGAGACCAGCCAGCACCTGGAGGTCCTGGGGTAGAAGTCAGCCTCACCTGAAGCACATGGGGGAGGGGGAAAGGAAAAATTTCTTCCTGTGTCTTCCCCTCCTTCTCCCCGCACCCCCCACATGAAAATCAGAGCCTTTGTGGAAGAAGGAAGACTAGATATGAGGGAGAAATTATGTTTTAAGAAAAACAGACCCCAACAATTTCTGAACAAGTCAGGAGATACAAACACATACGGACAAATTTCTTCCTGTGTCTTCCACATCCAGACGAATCAATGAAAATGGCCTTGAGAATAAAGTGACCTAATGAGAACATGTATACAAAAAGCTATCAATACAATAAACACCACAAGAATGAATCAACAGTTTCATGACAACAAAGAGAAAAGTGTAACTAATTTGCAGGCTCCATGGTGTCTTCACAATGGAGAGAATTTTTGAGCAAGGGCTTGAAAATGCAGAAGATCAAAATGCATTTCCGTAGCTGGGAGAGGTAAAATGCATCTCCACAGCTGGGAGAGGGAGCATGGAACCTGGTGAGCTGAAGTGCAGGACAGTGGATCCGTGTGGGAGCCTAGGACTTGACAGACTGAGCTGTGAAGGGTTCTCTCTGGGCTGCTACAGAGCCTGGCCTTTATCTTTTAAGCAATGGGGAGTTGTTGAATTTTTTAAGCATAGAGGTGACACAATCAAATCTGCATTTAGAGAACTAGAGGAACAGAAACTAGATACTTCTTTATATAAGAAGAAAGGAGATAAGCATGGAAGGGGGGAGCTAAACTTTAAAATGAGGGAGCTCAAGCCAAAGGGTCTCTATTTTCCCTGTGAGTCAGGGGAGAACAGATGCTGAGTGGGAGGGGGTGTTAAGCAGTCAAGACAAGTTGGAAACTTCAATTAGCCAGAACACTGCATCACCAAAATATTCTGATCAAAGAGGTTCTTCAGTAAACTCCCTCATAATGTGAGGTCGTAACATGCTAAACCAGCGGGTGAACTGAAATATAGAGGTGCCAAGTGCAATTTACCTCCTAAGCTATTTCACCATCAATGCCAATGGCCCCAGGTAGAACTAATTATGTGAGCATCACTGGTCACTCAGATCCTTGTGATCACTGGCAGGGCAGATGTGACGGCGGTATCAGGGGCTGGTGGGAGATGGCACAGGAGGATGCGAGAGGGCAGCCAAGTGAGGGGCGGGGGGCGTGTGGTTTGGGATGTAGCACACAGGCAGCCTAACCGAGGCTGTGTTCACCAAGCAGCCGGGGACAGCACATGGCAGAGTGAGGTCTGTGGCACAGCACAGAGGGTGGCAGATCCAACTTTGGGATTCAGACTGAGAAATAACTGCCTAGAGCCACCTACTGCAAATGAAAGGATCTGCTATGCCACGGTTCCTTCATTTCTTACAGACAATAGTGTTGTCTGGTCAAGTTACATCAAGGCTAATGAAGCTGAGTGTTCTTCCTATATTATCTTGTACCACTTGACCTTAAAATGTCACATACAAAATTAATTACCAACAGTGTCTTATATTTGTCTGGTGCTTTGCAGTTTAAAAAGTCACTTTCAAATATAATATTTTCTCATTTGGTTCTACACAACCCTGTATGGTAAACAAAGCAGATACAATGATTTATTACCATCTGTTGCTCCTCCCCACCAAATTATAGATAACAGAAGTTAAATTACCTAGAGATCACATAGCTAGGACCAGAATCCCCCAGACTAACATACGAGATCATGACATTGCCCCTTTTAAAAAAGTCTGTGAATATTCTCCAAAAGAAAGAGGCCAATGAAGGGCATATTTCGACACATTTGACCCAAAGCATTTAAAACTCACTCTCTTCCTAATAATTGTGCCATTTTCTCAGTGAGGGGAAGAAGGAGACGATAGCCCTGGGTGTGTGTTTGTCCTCTTAATTAACATACATTTACACACATACAATGGTGAAGCATAAGATTGTAACTGAAGCACCTTCAGAAGCAATAAAGTCAGGTTTATTAAGACTCAAGCTCAGAATAAATTACTTAGTTCTAGTTATACCAAACTCCATCACTCTTAAAGGCTTATGCCGAACTTCATTCATTTCCTAATATACACTGTCGAAGTAAAAGACTGATGAAATACATTTGGATAAAACTTAATAAAAGTATAGGCAATCAATAAGAGTATCAGTATATTGAATTAGAATTTTAATAGGTGATAAGTATCTTGAATTTGAATCTAAAATCAAAGGACAATGATTTTTGGACTTTTTCTCATGGACTACTATTCCCTACTACAGAAATGACAGGTCTTTAGGAAGCAATATAAAATAAGACCCTTCGCTAATACTGAAGAACAACCTAAGATTGATGCCTTGCGTAACATCCTCAGTTCTAGAATGAAGGTCTCCTGCCTGCTTCTGGTCTCTCTTTGTGTTCTCTCCAGAGGTGACTCTTGTGAAGCCAAGCTTCAGCCACAGTGGACGTGGTCTTGACTCTCCTCTCCTCTCTTGGCTTCACAAGAGTGAAGAGTGTGTATGTCCAAGAGTGTGTATGTCCAAAGACGCAAATGTGCCACAGGTCTCAGCAGCATCGAGCCTTCTAAGCAAGACATGGGAGGCTGAAAAGTGAGAAGGGATCACCCAAGAATTTTCTGACTTTCAGGGAGTGAAATATAAAATATTTTCAGAGAAAGACAACTGTATTTGAACTTCCCCGGTAAAGATGTTTAAAGTGAGAAATAAAATGGAGAAGGATGTAGAAAATCCCTGGGGAGTGAAAAAGCTGCTAAGAACACCAAAGTACATTTGAATTTCTTCTTAAAAGCATTATCTTTTTCAAGTCTTTTCCTATCCTACCCCACCCCTGGCTCTGAGCAAAGAGCGATTTATAAGATAATATAGCATCTAGAGAAACACTGATCAACTAACAAAAGAATCGTGCAGGAAACTACATTGCCGTTTGAAGTTTATTACAGTATCGTTAGTTCTTATTGCATATACGGTTACATGCCTTTTACAGTCAGGATTATACTTAGAGGATGCTCAGTTTAGCAGAGTTTGTGTTTATTGCTTCTTTCTTGAAAATCAGCAGCATGCAATGCAATATTTGGTGTGAGGTTATTTTTTTCAAAAAGTGAAAAACTACTTAGGTTTAACTGAGGAGGGAACATGATCTTTATTGGCTTATATGCAAAGTTTAATTTTGGTTTTATGCAGAGTTTGCATAGTTCATGATTAGTTTCTAATGAAAAACTAGATGTGTTGTCAGTGAACTTGAACAAGATCAGGTGACAGTAGCAAACAGAAAAATCTGAAGAAGAGGCATAACTTTTAAAGTAGAAAGGTCAGCAAGAACTGCCTGAAACAAAAAACAAAAAGAATCATTACTAGCAAAATGAAGTCTATGAAATAAGGCACAGCAGAAACACCACCACAATGTAACTTTGGCATCCACACATACTCTAAGTTCTTTGGATTTGTCCTAAATCTTTCTACTAAAGCTGTACCTTTCCTTCTTTTTTCTGCATATATTAATGTTAGTAAATGTGCAAAATGCTAAAATGTGCGGTAGAAAATAACCTGGACTTTAGACTTCAGCCTTCTTCAAATATACAAGGTAGCCTGAGTTTATAAGAGGTCTAACATTTCAACTTGCTGCTATAAATAAACGCACATTATGAATACTAGTCCCGTTATTCTAGTGTGCAGAGTAACTGACTGCAGGAAATAATTCTGAGATGGAACTAATGTTTATTCAGTTGCAAGATGCATAAACATCCTCTTCCCTTTAAACAGAGAATGGAGGCAGCTATTTTAAGGATAAAATTTACATTTCTGTGAGTGATAACAAATACAGTAACAAGGTAAGCACTATTTAATTGAACCATATTTCAGGTATAAATTATACCATTAAAAAGAAATCAGCTTTAAATAATTAACTTGAAATTAAGAAGGGCCACTATGTATCTTTACAACATCATCCAAGAACATTGCTCTCTCAACTAGTTTTTCTTTGTTCTGTGAGCATAATGCATGGACTTGAGTGATAATGAGGAAGTACCAATAGTTTTCATTAAAATTACTGGGTATCTGGTTTCCCATAATGGTTATAATGGTTTCCTATAATAATCTTGTTTATGACCTCTTCATAAGAAGACTGTTTTCAGGTAATTAAGGAAATTTGATTACTTAATGCTACTTAGCTTGGAACTTACAGGTTTTTCTGAGTTAAAAAGTCTGGCTACATGAAACGTGTGTCCTATGCATCAGACACTAAAATGACTGAGCCTGGCAATCTCTCAGGAACTATTTCCATCCCATCTGAGTGAAACTTATCCTTACTTCAGCTGCGGCCAGTGATGTCACCTCCATCAGGTTCACTGCTCGGAAAGCAAACACGGCAGCTGCCAGGACTGGAAAAGAATGAACACTATGTCAACTGCTGGCCCACTCCTCGGCCGGCACAGTTCCTGCTAGCTCTGCCCACAGCCCACGGCATGAAAGCTCAGATCTGCTGCCTGTACGGCTGACCACACCCCCGCGTTCTGAGTGAAGGTCTAGTGTGGAACAGAAATCCTCTACTCAACAGTTCCGATGGCCAGACAAATGGAACACCACAGTTTTGGGGGAAAAAAAATGATCTTTAAAAAGCCATTTTATAAATTGTTTTGTTTATATCTATGCCTTAAGTTATAATAGGTTTTAAATGGCATGAAGATCTAATAAGTGTCTTATAAATTAAGGTTTTGACCCAAGTTTATTTTGTACAGCAATGGAGAGGCTTCTGAGAAGTTATATGGAGATGAGGTTATTGAAACATGTTTCATATGTATTGAGGAAGTATCCAAGTAGAGACATAGTTTGAAAAGCTTTTCTTAAAAACACCTTTATAACATGTTGTTATATTTACATTTTCATACAGAGCAGGGTTTTTGAGACTGTCATGAATGGACATGTCTGTGGGGAAGGCTTCCGTGGGACTTTCATGCCAAAGTTGACTACAGGAAAAAGAAGTTGAAACTTTGAAAAAGAAAACCATTATAGGACAACTTTCAGGTTAATAATTAATATACATCAAATAGAAAACAACACAAATTATTGTTTCCATTATACATACACACAGTGAAACAGAGGACCGTTACCACGCAGTGCTTATATAATCTACCGTGGAACGCCACGCGAGGGAGTGAGTCATGGACACAGGAGACACCAGGAGATGGTACTGCCCAGAGATAACTCTTGACTTCTCCCTATTTAGTTCCATCACCAGTGACGGAAGTGTATTCCCTGCAACAAGTCGTTGAAGCTTAGGAAATTCGTGCTAAGAAATATTCAAAATTATTTGGAAGACTGGTTCCTAGGTATACTGCATACCTACTGAAACATTTATAGATTTTAAAATACATTTTTACAGTGGGAATAAAAATAGCAATCAGTTCTCACACCAATTCTATGAGCTAAAACTTAGCCCCTTTTACTAATGTAGAACATGAAGCACAGTGGGTAGGGTGACGTGCTCAGAGTCACACAGCTAGAAAAGGGTAGAGCCTGGCCTGGGGGTCTGTGCATCTAACCACTCTGTGAAAACACTCCTGAGATTAGGACAAGCGGTAATGACTCATCCCTCACATGAACATCTGGGTGCTTCGCTAAGAATCAGCTCCTCTGCCGTCCCTCCCAGTGCTTTTCCAGAGAATGCGTGAAGGAAGATGCTGGGGTGGTCCTGGCTCTGCTATCTCTACTCCTCTGTTGTGCCTGAGGAGTAGAATTCATGATCTGGAGCTTCTTAATTTCCCCAGATAGAAGCAGAATCAACCAGCGACTGGGAAGCACAGGTACTTTTCTAGGGGATAAGCTGGCAAAGTAACATTAGAACTAG